CTGGAGAAGGAGAGGGGTTTGACGGGATTACTCTTCTGTGATCTTTTATCATCTCTTCCCCCTTCTCCTCTGTCTGATCCCCCTCCACTCTCTTCATCTAATGGTAACGAGTATTGTTTGATTTATCACTTCACGATTTGGAGATTCTGTTGCAGGTACTGAGACTACTTGTGTTTGACGACTTCTGAGTATCTACTAGACTGGGTTCATTACAGATTTATTAAATAATAAAACAAGTTCACCTCAGGGCAGGGGGAGCCTTAAATATATGAATAAGGAGGGGGATAGGTGGAGTGCAATAACCCACTCAACATGCCCTGTTTGTCGCCTGAGGGCACCCACAGGCCAGCCTCAGGCCATGGCAATAGAGGGGAGCAAGACCCCCGAAATTGGCTGCAGGGCCTCAGCGCCCGACAGTTGTATTCGGTCAACTGCCCAGCGGCCCACGAGTCAAAGTCTGCATGGACCCAGCCCAGGCCGCCGGTCAGACACACACACTTGTTTGTATGCAGGTACCAAGACAGCATTTGGACCAAGTGGAAGTCTGCAACCGTATGAGATCCAGGCCGTCGGCTGTGAGTCAATCTGAGCCACCGTGGGTGGGAGACCTGAGGCAGGTCAACCTCATCAAACACTACATAATGCCCTGCCTCCAGGGGGTCAACATGCAGTCTTGCCTTGCTGACTTGACACTGGCTTGATGCTGGCTGGACGCTGGCTTGACACTGGCTGGACGCTGGCTGGACACTGGCACTGTGGACGACGACGCGAGACTGCTGTGTGCGTGCTGGCGCCTTCCTGTCTTCGCACCAGCTGTCTTCTGCTGACGTGTTGCATGCCACGCTGTCTTCGACATTGCTGATGTGGCACATGCCACTCTGTCTTCATTGCTGACGTGTCATCTGCCACACAGTCTTCATTGCTGAGTTGGACGCGACAAGGAGGGAGATCGGGATCTGTGGATTGGTTGAGAGAGAGGATACTTACCTGTTGCTGATGTCGATATTGTGCGATGCTGAACATCTTCATGGGAGAACTGTGCCACGTGGCACTCTGATGTGATCCGGCCCTGTCAGCCTCGTTCTTGGACACTGTTGGCTGACGTGGACGCGACGGAAAGCCCGGAGAAGGAAAGGGAAATGTTGGGCTACTATCTCTGTGGTCATTGATGGATACTTACTCTTCCACCCTTTAAATCGTCTAAGCTCCCCTTCCTCTCTTTGTTTATTGGCTACAGGACATTGTATCACAGATCACATTTCTGGATTATTGGTGACATTATTCGGGCGCTGAGTTATCTTGTACTTCGACACTTGACGAGTATCTTCCGGACCGGGTTCATTACAGGAGTGACTCCAGAGTGATTAGCTTACTTCCTCTTTGACAGCAAAAGGAAGAGCAGCGGACTCATTTTGCCTTTTACAAATCTAATGGATGGAGAATCGGAGATGCACTGTAACGTGTTGATCCCTTCTGAAAACCCAGCAGATCGATCAGGGATTTCATGGGACACAAGTAGCCGTTTCTTCAGTTGACATCCTCTTCTTCTTCGTTTTCGGCAAATGCTTCTGTCTATAGGAACGTGGCATAGAACTTGACCAATGGATGACATCAGCATCAGAAACAGGCCTCATGTTCAGCCTTGGGCATACACACCTCCATCTCTAAAATATTCTGAGTGTTCTTGGCTTTAAATAAGCCAAATAATTACAAACGCTTCCGATGGGGGCAAAAGACGGGAATGAGATTAGGTAGGTCAACTAAAAAAAATGAACTAATACAATTATTATTATATTAATTACCCTGAAAGTCCAGACAACGCAGACATGCTTATGCCAGAAGTGCCAGCACACAAACTAGTGGCCAAGTAATCATCAAACAATCAGCTCCAAAAAAAAAGTGTCAACAAACAAACATCAACTGACAATTACAAAGTAATACAAACTTAATGCGAACATTGCGAAGTAAATTCAAGTAATCTCTTTGTCCGACACCAACTGCTCAGTAAACGTTAATTACTAATTAGGCAGCTTTTTACCTTCAGAAAGAGGAGGACTCTTCTCCGCTTATAAAACAATCAGCTTTATTATAAAACCCGGAAACTGGGTCCAGTGTCCCTTACAACAGCGTCCCTTGCAACAAGGACCCACTCTACACTTCCTTCCATTATGGCTGAAGGACTCTGAGACAGCGGCATTGATTGCTTCCTTTCAAAGAAGGACGTACTTCTTCTCTGCCCCTCAATGATGTCCCCCTCCCCTTTACCTTTACAGAACTAAGAAAAGAAAAGAAAAAAACACGAGGAGTCCTTTCCTCTTGCCACTTCCCCTTTTCCATCGCCAACTCTTTCAGTTTCTGGGCACCAAAGATCTGCTCCCCTTCTCTGCCTCCCTCCCCAATTTCTCCAGTTGCAAGTCTTCCTGCTCACCAACCTGCCAACTATAAAATGCACCTATTAATAGGCTTTTATATCTACATAAGCATCATAGGTAATCTCCCTAACCTCTCTGACATTGGAATGCAGATTGTGGAGGGTAGTTTCATTATGTGCAGGGTGAAGAACGTCAACGTGCACAAACAACATGTGGACCTCACATGCAAGGGCAGCGATTTGCGAAGTAACCGGTGGAGCTTTATGGGGCGCGAGCCCCGTGATCCGTACGCTGGGAGGGATCAAACACTGGTACAGGAAGAGGAAGACAGAGCGAGGAAGAAAATGGAGGAGATGCAAAAGAGTTTCAAGCCACGGATGATCGAACACCCACTGTTCCACAATGTATCCCTTACAAAGGCAACAGAGGTACTCGTCAGATCTCCTCATACACTCTGCTCATTGTTCCCCCCCTGCTGACCACCTCCTCCCAGCCGTTCAAAATCACAAGTACATAACATAGAAATGGATTATGGAATCTGGATGCTAAAACTGAAATGTTTTTTCAACTTCTTTTTTTTTTTTTTTTTTTTTTTTAATGAGAAATAACCAGTCCCACCGCTAGGAGAGGTGATAAGAGCACCACCACCCCGCCTAGCAAGCTGCCTGGTTGCTCCAGTTTATTGGTGGGGAGCCACACCTGCTGGAAACCGGGCCCAGCGTCCCATTATGCATCAAGAATCTGAGCATCCAGTCGAGTGACGACCGGCCTGCCAGCATTGATTGCCCTGGACCGCAGGGGATTAACTAATAAAACTGAAATGTACAGTGCGTGATTTGGATAGTCCGTCCAGAAAAAGGAGCTTCAATTTTCTACAGAAAAATGTGCCATGCGCATGATGATGTGTGTGCACATATGAATACACACAGGAAGTTCACCAGCACAAAGCGCTCACGGAGGAATGCCAACGACCGTGACTCACATCATAAACAAAAGAGTACAAGGAAAGTGACAAGCTGTTTTGTTGGACTCTCACCAACTGATTAGGAGGGTGAACCCTCAACAGTCTGCAGAATCTCCAGAGTCATGCCTTGAGTCATAGTCAATTTCGACCCCTGTCACGAGTGGACAGCCACAAGCAGCAAGGAAAGGCAGACAATAGTAAAGCAAACGGCAGAAGGGCAGGGATCGGGTGGGTTGGCACGAAGGCAGATGACCAAGCAGCTAGCTTTCAGGTGAACTGTCCAGCAAGCAGGTGGGTGGGCAGCGACACAGGCAGCAAAGCAACCAAACAAGCATCCACAGGCCAAGCAACGAGGCAAATGGATAGCAAGGCAAGCTGCCACACAACTATGCAAGGATAGGCATGGCGCAGGACCAAGAACCAACAGAGTGAGGAGAAACAACAATGCAAGCAGCGGAAAACTGAAAGAGCACCAATCTGACTCATCAGGCTCTGGACGCATCACGCACATGCATCATCACACATGCGATAGGCAAGGAGGGGGCATACATGGAAGAAGAGCCCTCCTTGCCTCACACACAAGTACCAACTATGACCGGGGTGGGGATTGAGACGAATGTGAGGAGAAGAAGGAGACGAAGGAGAAGAAGGAGAAGAAGAAGAGACTGACACTAAATCTCCCAGCTGAATGATAATAGTCCCTCTTCAAAATCCCACAATAGTCTGAGTCCAAGGCTGGGAGGCAACTCCTAGTAACCATCTCTCTCTCTCTCTCTCTCTCTCTCTCTCTCTCTCTCTCTCTCTCTCTCTCTCTCTCTCTCTCTCTCTCTCTCTCTCTCGTGTTTAGGCACTGACCAGCAAAAGATGAAGACTTGAGCTGTCCCGTGCTGCAGGTGGAAGGCCTGCTGCAGCCAGTGTGGAAAACCCAAGCTATGGCACCCAGGTGAGTGCCCCACTCTTCTACTCCGCTACTCTCCTCCTACACCTCTAGGGCTAACCCTAACATTGCTCCTCTACTGCTGCTAGCACAGCATCATGCTGAAGTGTGTCCTCAACACTGCATTGCCAAGCCTGAGCCCAGGCCCAGCTATATACTGCTGGGCCTACCAGGAGTGGCTTTGGCCTGTGCCTGAGGCCATACCAATGGATGGTCCAGAAAGCAGGCTGAAGTCCTGGCCCTGGTGCTGCTGGTCGAAAACGGCCTGCCTGGGTCCCTACTGCTGGACTGCAGAAAAGACAAACTGGTCCAGCCCTGCCCAAAACAAATTGCCTCAGGCCTAAGACTCTGCCACCGGGCCTAAAACTGGCCCAGCCAGTCCAAACAGCCCAAAAGTGCTTGTTTGGACAGGACAATGGCCACACGACCCATCCCAGGCTGGGCAAACCTGGAACAGACGAAGTACTACGCATAAATCACCTACTTGTTGCCTCACAAAGGCCCGAAAGATGGTCGGGGCCCTGGGACTGCCCAAAAATGTGAGGCATGCAGGGGCTTTGACGCCGGTTGTTGGTCATGCAAGCGAATCTGAAAAAGCCATCCTTTCCGTCCGCCATGATGAAGCTCGAATGGGGTGATGCCAATCACCACATGTAGTGAAGGGTTGTAGGTGAACTCGATGCCAGAAAGGCGCTCAACCCAGTTTTTCTGGTCCGGGTCGAGGCATCATCTGTGCGTTTTGATGTGCCCGCTCCATCTGCCCACCCCTTTGCAGGTGCCGAGAAGAACTTGGTCTCAATTCAGGTGCAGGTGCTGAGAAGAACTTGGTCTCATTTTAGGTCCCGATTGCTTCATGAGAGTTATCCCAAAGTCCAACACGAACCAAGTGTCACGGTTGCTATGTCCTCGGGAACGTCGTGGCATCAAGTCCAGCCAGTGTGCAAGATGCAAGCAAGCTCGGGAGCATTTGCATAGTACTTGCACGAGAGGAGCGGAAGTGAGCGTACTTGCTCCATTGGTCAACCACCATCAGGATACCCTCGTGATGAAAACAAATGCGGGGGATAGATCCGGTGACGTCCATCGATATCGATAAGTCAGGCTCTTGCGACATAGGTAACGTTTGCAATTTGTCGAAGCATTATGACTTCAAGGTTTGCATCCCCGACAAACTTCACATGACTTGCTTAAGTCGCTATACTTGTTGACATCGGGCCCGGGCCAATAAAATCGCAGGTGAAGTCGAGTAGCTGTGTGGTCGACTCTAAGGTGGCCAGCTAGGCGCAGAGTAGGGTTTCTTACTGGAGAAACACTTAATGGAAGGCCCAAAATTCGGCGAATTTTGGYGAATTTTTCACCGAAACTGCCATATTTCCCTGAATTTTTACTTTTTTCTTGGTTTTTCTTTTTGTCTGATATCTATGTGCTTTAGGGTATATATATATATATTCAGTTTCGCCACATTTGGACTAGTAACCAAAAACTTATCAAAAACAGCGGACTCAAAGAAAGATTTCGCGAACTCTGAATGACCCTGCATAGTTTGTTCGCAAAAGTTTCGACAACATTGCTCATAGCGCTGCAGCGAAAACCCCGAAGTTTTGCCCTTCCATTAACCGTGCGCCCCATCCAGCATACAGCAGCGCAGCTCGGCTATGGCTGCCTGCTCATCCAGCTCGCCCGTGAGCGCGCGAGCGCTGGCCAGCGTATAGCGCAGCAGCGCTTTCGCAGCATGCAGCCAGTGCCCGAATGAGGAATGCGTGGGCAGGCACTTTCCTAAATGGAAATTGCCTGCCTGCTGTGCATGAAGCCTGGCTGCGCTGGGCCCCTGCCCAGAAGCTTCCGGTAGGCCCCGAGAGGCTGTGCCCCAGTCCACACGAATCAGGCCCTGGGCCTCTGGTAGTTGCCCGTGTCCAACTGCCCTCGGCCTGTGTTGAGAAGCGGTTAATGAAATGCCCAAAATTCGGCGAATTTTGGCAAATTTTTCACCGAAGTTTGTATTATGACCCTGCATAGTTTGTTCGCAAAAGTTTCGACAACATTGCTTGTAGCGACGCGGCGAAAAACCCCGAATTTTGAGCCTTCCATTAACCGCTAGTGTGCACGTGGCATCTGTGAGTGGGGGATCGAGGTTGTGAGTGATACGAGAGACATACCTGGTGCTTGAGGCGAACAGCATTGGCCGAGATCTGTTCGTACTTCGGGGAGCTGTTGACGTCACCAGCGGCATTGTAGATAGGCTAGATAGGATCTGCCATTTGTAGTCCGGGCGCAGAGCGCCAGATAGGATGTCGACATTGGTTCTTTGTTGATGATGATGAGACTATTCGAACATTGTCACTTATGAGCTTTTGCTGTGCTCTTATTTGGTGGGACTCATGTTGCAATTCTGCTTTTGGTTCG